CTAGAACTCACTCTGTAGAGCAGGCTGGCCTCAAACTCACAGAGATCCATCTCCTCTGCCTCCCGAGTGCTACCACTGCCCAGCTAATATCAGCAATTCTCAAAAGCACATTTCCAGCTGGCGTTCTTCCTCGGGATAGAAGTGTAAACGAGGTAGTCCCTGGCTTTATGAAATTCTGATTCTATCACAGAAAACAGCCGTGAAAATAACAAGGGGAGGCCAAAACAGAGGGGGTCCTAGCATCACTTGGGGGTCAGGAAGACTTGTGGGAAACCAAACCTGATGAAGATGGACAGGGCTCCATCGGGAGGCTAAAGGGAAGGACTTGTGGACAGGAGAGCTCAGGGGGCCACAGCTACACTGGGAGGGACATGGCAAGCCCTGTCAGTTCATGTCCCCCAGGGTGACCCACTACCGGACCACAAACTCCAGCCCACGTCTCCCCAGAATCCTACAGTGAGTGACACATATGAGCTCAGTAACCAACGGCTGAATGGGTGCGACATGGTTAACGGTTTCTAAAACCTCGATGCCTGTTAATTGTACAGTCTTGTTTCCCATTTGAGAAACTAAAGTCGCACTTGCTGGTCAAGCTGACCGAGTCACTGAGAGTCACCAGACTCAGCACCGCCAGCCCCTGTCTGTCTGGGGAAGGGCAGAGGGAAGGTGAAGCCAGCCAGGATGGGCGGGAACTCTGGGGACCACACCCGGGGGCTGGAAACATCTCTCCACTGAAAGTCTAAATGAAAGACAGCGTGGGGCGAGGGCTACTTTATCACTTCTCCTAGAAAATGTCCTCTTGTAAATGCAGACGGTTCTGGGGACGGTGGTACCTGTGGCTAAAGGATCCAACTGAGATCTGGGCTACTCACTCACTCTAGTAATCTGGCCTCCCTAAGCCCAGGGTTCCTCTCCTGCAGGGCAAGTCAGTCATGTGTGTTATATTAATGCAGATTCACAGTGCATTCCTGTGTGCCCACACGTACAGCCAACCTCCTGGAGACCTGGAGGCAAAAGGAGCTGACACAAATATGCCTAGGCTCATCCTGCCTGCTGGGCCCTGAGTGATGGAATCCGGTCTCTGACTCAGTGTCCTGTCTTCTGTCAGCATCCAGGAAGCTAGCAAGGAGGTAAAACCCAACCCTCTGCAGCTCTTGACACAGCCGGTTTATTCCAGCATTTCAGTATTCTCGGCCATTTCTGACGGATGCACCTGAGCTATAGACTCTTGTAGTCTAGCTGCCTTTGACAGTAGAGCAAGAGCCTTTGCTAGGGCTGCCATATGGAATTCCAACACACTCGCCGTTGAGGGCTTGGTCCCCAGCTGGAGCGCACTACGAGGAGGCAGCAGAAACTCTAGGTGGTGGGTCCTAGCCGAGGAAGTAGGTCCCTGTGGGCATGTCCTTGAGGGCTGTATTGGTCCACACCCTCCTCTGTCTGCCTTTGCTTCCTGGCCACTGTGACTGAGACTTGTCCTCACTGTGATGACAGAAACCTCTGGAACCACCTGTCACAGTCAAGCCCCACTTAAAGCAGCGAAAGAAGCTGGCACAGCCTCCTCACCATTCTCCCAAGAGGGGCCCACTAAGGTGGCAGAGACCTTCAAGACAGTACTTGAGGACTTCAGAAACACGAAAGGAAGTAACTGAAAAGTTGAAATAACCTGGGAGAGAGGTTTTTTTAAACAATATAGAGAATCATCTGTATTTCCGTTTTCAGTGATTACACAGACCTTGTCTAAAATAAACAAGGACAATGCAGTACAAGATGTTTGGGTCCTGACAAGCTTTCTTAAGCCATGATCTGTATCTCCATGTGGAACTGATTTTCCAAGGGACAGAAATGGTCTTTGATCTTTCTGAACCACTTGTCTTCAAATTCTCTGGAGGACGCAGTCACCAAGGTAGTCAGGGCTTCGGGGCCAACACACTTCACCTCTGAATGAACTTCATCTCTTATTTTTTCTGGGGTAATATCTTCCCCCATAGCCTGTAGGAGGAGAGGAGAGGGGGAGAAAGACTAACCCAGTTAAAGAGGCAGCAGACACAGAATGGAGATGATTTACCGGCTGGAAAGCCTTGCACATGAAACACTGGGGGAAGCACTCCACTGTACCAAGAAGGCCTGTTCCACAGCTATTCTCACAGATGTTAACTGACCTGTTTCCATGCTCACCCTCCCCAGTAACAGAGTTCCTAAGTCCTAGGGTGGCGGCTGCTCCTCCTGGGCTCCTGGGAGCAGAGTCAACCTTTGTATGCCAGGTTATTCTGCTGACAGTGTACCTTGGGCTCCTCCCTCCCCGCCAGAGGCTGAGGCTGGAAGGGTGGAGGCCGAACTCAGGGGGGCAGAGCTCAGGATGTGATGAGGGTACGATCTATCTCACTGCCCTGGAGAGTCCAACCCTCCACAGCCCAGGTTCTCTAGGGCTTTAGCAGGTCCCCAAGAAAGGCACAATACTGCCCCCTCCAGGTCCCGATCAGACGGCAGGGCACAGACTTAGACCCTGGGTGTGGCAGGCCTAGTTTGTCTTTGATGAGACAACATTAGATTCTAGGAGGCCTTTATGTGACCTCACTAAGTGACCCTTTGATAATGACAGTGAGCAAAGCACGTCCTACCAAGTGTCCTGCTAACCAGCACGAGAGTTCACACGCCATCCAGCAGGGGCGCTGTTCAGGGAATGGGAGACACTAACCTAAAGGTCCTCCAACCTTGAGATCTCATGTGGCCACGAAAGCCACACGTGCAACCCAAGAGTGGCTCTTCATGAACTACGTGCTTTGTGTGTGCACATGTGTGTGGGGAGAATGCACCCTGGCCTGTGCATGCCAAACCCAAAAAAAGAGTTCTGCTGTCACTCCTGGCCTTCCTCCCTTGAGGTGGCCTGTCACTGAACCCTAAACTGGCTGTTCTGGCTAGGCTGGCTGGCCAGCTCACAGACCCACCTTCTCTGTCCCCCAGTGCTAGGGTTATAGCATTTGTGACCATGCCTGGCTTGTGTGGGGATTCAAACCTAGGTCCTCCTCATTTGAGCTCTTCTCCACCAAGCCACCCCCACCCCAAATAACACATCTTTTGAGGTAACTGCCAATGAGATGCTCTATTCATTTACTGAACATTGCTAATTCATCCGTTCAGTGTCTCTGAAATCATGCACTGGTATGTCACTTTGTACACTGCATGATCTTTCTCTTTCAGTGACGTATCCTAGTGACCTGTCTCACAAGTGAGGACTTCCTGGATTTGGTGAAAATCAGTTTTTATTTGTTTAGAGACAGGGTCTCTCTATGCCATCCTGGCTGGCCTCAAACTCATTATGTAGACCTGACTGGTCTTGAACTCACAGAGATCCACATGTCTCTGCTGCCCACATACTGGGATTAAAGGAGCATGGCACCAGGCCTAGTCTTAAAGTCAGTATTTTAGCCGGGCAGTAGTGGTGCACACCTTTAACCCCAGCACACAGGAGGCATAGACAGACAGATCTCAGTGAGTTTGAGGCCAGCCTGGTCTACAGAGCGAGTCCCAGGATAGCCAGGGATACACAGAGGAAACCCTGTCTTAAGAAACCAAAAACATGGAAAACAAAAACAAAACAACAAAACCCAAATCAGTGTTTTAAGCTATGGGAAAACACCAGAAGTCATTATCTTA